CTAAAACAATATTCCATGTTCATGGAAAAGGCAACTTCTGATGCGGATCTTTGGAATTTAACCCAAGGTCAGAATGAACCACTTCGCAAATATATCGCTAAATTCAAAGAAATGATAGCGAAAATTCCTGGGGTATCGCACGCTGCTGCCCTTTCTGCTTTAAGGAACGGACTCTGGCATGAATCTCGATTTCGAGAAGAAATCATCGTCAACCGTCCAAGTACCATCCAAGATGCTTTATTTAGAGCTACTAATTGGATGGAGGCAGAAGAAGAAAAGCTTAGTCTCGCTAAAAAGCATCGACCAGCTAAATTAGTCGTTGCGAATCCAACTAAAAAGTTTGAACCAAAAGATCAAAAACGGTTCGGAGTTAATCCTGCTACTAATGCTGTAGGAAAACCCTCCCCAAGCAGAGGAAGATACAATCCTCCTAATACTTGGGTTAGAGATGAAAGCGCCTATTGCGATATTCACAAAGTAAACGGGCACTCCACTAAAGATTGCAGCGTACTCAAAAAGCACCTCACCGAACTGTGGGCAGCTGGAGAGCAGAATTTGTGGAATCTTACCACAAAGAAAAAGAAGATTCTGAAGCTTCTAATCCTCCTGAAAAGAAACATAAGCCCAATGGGCCCGGAACTCCGAACACTCCTAAGAAAAGGATCGATGTTATAATGGGAGGGTCCAAATTATGCCGAGATTCGATCAGATCGATCAAGAGGCATAAGAAATCAGCAGCAATTCAAACTGCTGTGGGTTTTCAATCAAATGAACAAATACCTTCTATCTCCTTTGACGATTCAGACACTCAAGGATTAGCTGGGCCTCATGATGATGCTCTTGTGATAACTTTAGATGTTGCGAACTTCGAAGTGACAAGGTGTCTAATTGATACTGGAAGCTCGGTAGATCTCATATCGGTTCACCGGCCCCATTAGTAGCTTTCACGAGTGACACATCTATGTCCTTAGGAAACATTAAACTACCAGTGCTTGCAGCAGGGATTCCAAAAATCGTAGAATTTATTGTTTTCGACTGTCCGGCCGCTTACAACATAATTCTCGGAACTCCGTGGATATACCAAATGAAGGCTATACCTTCAACCTATCACCAATGTATGAAATTTCCGACTCCTAGTGGAATTGGAACCATTCGAGGAGATCAGGAAACGTCGCGATCTTGCTACCTCATGGGACCTCGTTTAAAGCTCAAATAGCAATTAATGATAAATGCTAAGCAAGAAAGCACCTCGCGTTACCCAAGTGGTCTCAGTTCGAGTGAAGTTACTACAGAAACTGAAATTGATCCCGAATTTCCAGATCGAAAAGTAAAAATCGGGACTACTTTGGATTCAGAAATCAAAGATCAATTGGTAACCTTCCTAAGAGAAAATAGACATACTTTTGCCTGGTCGGCGAAAGATATGCCTGGAATCGACAAAAATATCATTACCCATGATTTAAACGTCGATCCTAGTTTAAAGCCAATAAAGCAAAAAAGAAGAAAACTGGGTCCTGACAGAGCACAAGTGGTCAATGACGAAGTTGATAAGCTTTTGAAAATTGGTTCGATTAGAGAAGTAAAATACCCGGACTGGTTAGCAAACCCCGTGGTAGTCAAAAAGAAAAATGGAAAGTGGAGAGTATGTGTCGATTTCACTGACATTAACAAAGCGTGTCCAAAAGACAGTTTTCCTCTCCCTCATATCGATCGGCTCGTAGAATCAACAGCCGGAAATGAACTCTTGACATTCATGGATGCATTTTCTGGATATAATCAGATCATGATGAATCCCGAAGATGAAGAGAAAACATCTTTCATAACAGATAGAGGAATCTACTGTTATAAAGTTATGCCATTCGGTCTAAAAAATGCCGGGGCAACATACCAATGTTTAGTTAACAAAATGTTTTCAAAACATTTGGGCAAAACGATGGAAGTTTATATCGATGATATGCTCGTAAAATCTCTTAAGAAATCCGAGCACATCACACATCTTGAGCAATGTTTCAAAATTTTGAATGAATTCGGGATGAAATTTAATCCCGCTAAATGTTCTTTTGGTGTGTCTTCCAGAGAATTCCTAGGCTACATAGTCACAGAAAGAGGAATAGAAGCAAATCCTAATCAGATTAACGCTTTCCTCACGATGCCTTCACCAAAAAACATTAAAGAGGTCCAGCGATTGACGGGCAGAATTGCTGCGTTGAATCGTTTCATATCGAAATCTACCGATAAATGTCTCCCTTTTTATCAGATTTTAAAAAGGAACAAAAAATTTTGGTGGGATGATCAATGCGAAGCAGCTTTCGATCAACTAAAAACTTATTTGACAACATCACCTGTTCTCTCAAAACCTGAGTCAGATGAGAAACTTTATCTTTACATCTCGGTTTCTAATCATTCTGTAAGTGGGGTTTTAGTTCGAGAGGATCGAGGTGATCAGAAGCCGATTTTCTACATAAGTAAATCTCTTACCAGTCCGGAAACGAGATATACCATGATGGAAAAATTAGCTTTAGCAGTAGTCATATTTGCTAGAAAACTAAGACCTTATTTCCAATCTCATCGGATAGAAGTTCTGACTTCCCATCCGCTTCGCTCAATTCTTCACGGACCAAGTCAGTCCGGTAGATTGGCGAAATGGGCTATCGAACTCAGTGAGTACGATATAGAATATAAAAGTCGAACTAGCGCAAAAGCACAAGTTCTGGCTGATTTTCTTACCGAGCTGCCACTTGATGATGGAATCCTTATTGAAACAAACTCTACATGGAAATTACATGTAGATGGCTCTTCTTCTAAACAAGGATCCGGAATCGGTATTAGGCTCGAAACTCTGACAAAGGAAATAATCGAACAGTCGTTTCGATTAATGTTTCCGGCTTCGAACAATGAAGCAGAATACGAAGCTCTCTTAGCAGGACTTCGGCTTGCTCTAGCAATTGGAGCAGAAAAAATAATAGCTTATTGTGATTCCCAGCTAGTTGTAAACCAGTTCGCTGGAGATTACGAAGCTAAGGCTCCTCGAATGGAAGCCTATCTTTCGGCTGTCAAAAAATTAGCCAGAAAATTCAAAAAGTTCGAATTAGTTCGAATACCTCGAGGGGAAAACACTTCGGCAGACGCTTTAGCTACCCTAGCTTCTACCTCGGATCCTGACCTCAAACGAGTTATCCAAGTTGAATGTATTTCTTCGCGAAGTATTTCGGTTGAAGAAACAGAAAACGATAACATTTTGGAGGCCGAGCATATCGAAACTCCAAAATTAAGATCCGGAAATGAAAATAGTTCATTGGTCGTCACCAGATCGCGAGTAAAATCTCAGGATGATGAACTTACTTCACCACTGGAACTTCCTAAAAGAAAGCCGAGAAGAAAGTTAAAGGATCAAGAGGTTCCCGCTGAAGAACCATCTCGAACTGAACAGACACCTCCAGGTGATGAAGAAGTTCAGGAAACAATCGAAGATCCTGATATTCCTTTCGAACCCGAACCAAGGAAGTTTATACTCAAGGGTAATACTTCCGCTAATAATTGGGGGGCTGACTGGAGGGTACCCATCAAAAATTTCATTCTTAATGGAGAACTACCATCGAACAAATGGCAAGCTCGCAAATTAAAAATCATCAGCGCTAAGTATTGTATAATTAAAGAGTCATTGTACAAGCGAGGCGTCAGTGATCCTTATCTTTTATGTATTTTCGGACCTGAGGTTGAGATAGTGACAAGCGAGGTCCACGAAGGGCTTTGTGGTAGTCATTCTTCGGGACGATCAATGGCTTTCAAAATCAAACGGTTAGGATATTTCTGGCCAACTATGATTTCTGACTGCATCGATTACGCCAAACGGTGTAAAAAGTGTAAGATGCACGCTCCTCTTATTCACCAGCCATCTGAAATTTTATTATCCATATCCGCTCCATACCCTTTCATGAGATGGTCAATGGATATAGTTGGTCCGATGCATCGCTCAACGCGAGGTGTCCAATACTTATTAGTTCTAACGGACTATTTTTCCAAATGGATCGAGGCAGAAGCCTACGTAAATATACAAGATTCTGTGGTAAAAACATTCTTGTGGAAACACATTATTTGTCGCCATGGAGTTCTTACGAAATAGTAACGGACAACGGTCCTCAATTCATTTCAAATGAATTTGAAGATTTTTATTCCGCTTGGGGAATAAAACTTAGCTATTCAACGCCAAGGTATCCTCAAGGAAATGGGCAAGCGGAAGCTTCCAATAAAACCATTCTCAGCAATCTGAAAAAGCGTTTGAATGCTCGGAAAGGTGGTTGGTATGACGAGCTGCAACCTGTGTTGTGGCCATATCGAACAACCCCGAGACGAGCAACGGGAGAAACTCCTTTCTCATTAGTATATGGGATGGAAGCTGTAGTCCCAGCCGAGCTGAATGTTCATGGTTTAAGCCGGAGCGAAGCTCCTCTTAACGAAGAACTAAATTCTAAATTATTAAAAGACGTTCTTGATACAATCGATGAAAGGCGAGATCAATCCCTTATTCGACTTCAAAACTATCAGCAATTGACCGCTCGGTACTAAAACTCAAAGTTAAAAAACAGACCTTTAAATGTAGGAGACTTTGTTTTAAGGCGGGTGTTCGATAACACAAAAGAAGAAGGAGCTGGAAAACTCGGTATTAACTGGGAAAGCCCTTATCAAATTACAGAAAAAAAATCCGAAATGGTGTTTACCGTTTACAAGACCTTGACGGAAATCCCGTTCAAAGGCCTTGGAACATCATCACTTGAAAAAGTTCTATTGCCAAAGCAAACACAATTGAACTACGATTTGGCTTGATCCTATTTTGGGTACGTAGGCAGCTCGCTAAACACGAGTCCAGCTATAACATAAAAATAAAAATATTATTCTAGTCATGGAGTCTTGTTTTTATAAATTCAATATTCGATCATGAATATAAAAATACATTGCGATCAATGTATAAATAAATAATTCTAGATAAGCTAGAACCAGATCTAGAAGGGTCTTGAGTTACGGAATAACTTTGCTCCTTGACCTGCAAGGTCAACGATGCTCATAATACAACCTGGCATGTTTCCGTACTCCTGAAGTCCTAGTTCGTCCCAATCGGAAGGATGGGCTTCGAGGCGATGAAGCTCGCGAGCAATATCGATGCGACGCTTCTCTAGTTCCATTATCCTTTGCCTAATCTCTTTTTTCTCATTTTCGAGCTCGTCGTGCCGCACGATAAGCTGAAGAAAAACGCTTCGTTTAGCAATAACAAAAAGAGTTAAATTACTAGGTTTAACAATACCTTGTTAATAAACTTTGTAGCTTTGACATGATCTTGAGCTGATAATCTCTCAATTAACACATTTGGAACCTGAATGCTGGTTCCCCACCCTAATGGGCGTAACTCTTCTGGTTCACCGTTGGCTTCCGTTTTTACAAGATCGATGTCTTACGTTTCCGGAAGATCATCACTTATCACTTTAAACTAGTCAGAAGGTTTCTCTGAGAAATTACATTCCTCAAACATTTTTGTAGAATTGTTGTTGATCAAATTCAATAACGATCTACATCTGTTTTATATTCGAAATATACTCAATCACAATTAAGAGGGTTAATTGATGATTTCCCAAATCTAAAATTACTACTTTCGTGGAAAATGTAATCGAGTTAATCACTAATTATAGTCCCAAGATAAACGCATTAAATAAGATTTGAGTAAATCGGCAAATTTAAAGCAAAAGGGGAATGTAATTAATATTGCTGGGCCATCAGCCCAATAGTATGTTGCATAGTACTAAAATATATATATATATATATATAAATCAAGGGACTTGTTCGATCAGAAATCTTTGCCCGATAACGATTCCAGCGAGGTGGACGATCCAGAACAGCTTTCTGAAGAGAGTCCCTCGTCGGAAGATAAATCGAGGGGACCAGAAGGATGATCAATAGTTTTCTCCTCTGGTCCTTCATTTTCTTCAGTTCTTAACATCGGAAATCTTCGCAATTCTGAAGAACATGAAGCAAAAGAGGATCCGTCGCCGGTTGCCAAGGATAGATGAAAAAACTTATCCAGCATACGAAGGAATCCTCGGAGTCAAGTAGGAATAATGGCCACGATGTCTAAACCGTTCCTCTCCCATTCATACGGTTCAGATTCTAGGCGAAGGATCTCTCTTTCTATCCTCTTTATGCACTCATCAAGAGCACGGCGCCTTCTTCCGATTCTTTTTCTCTTATCACATAAAGCTTTATGTCTCCCAACAACCTGTTTGAACAAACATTTTGTTAACTGGTCGAAAAAGAGTTTATAGTCTCCCGAAAAGACCAGAGATTAGAAAGGGAACCTTTTCCAAGAAGTCATAACATTGGACCCTTTCTTTCCCCGTTCGGAATTGGAAAAACTTGGGGTGAATAACTCCTTTGGGAGAAAATCCGTCTTCGGATTCAAACAATGGATCCCCGCCTGAAGTTGTTACTCTTGAGCTAGATCTGAAAGCGGCATAGTCTTGTTTCTCTTACAATAAACTGCGAGTCTTTCAGAATTCTTTTAAAGAAAAGTGTTCGGACTCTTTAAAGAAATAATATATAATGGACCAGCTTAAGCAGATTTCGGGTCCAATTAAAACATGGCCCTACACTTTCGGAGCCATTTTTTAGGCCGTGATCGAAACCATTGCCTGGTCATTCTTATGACAAAATTCTCATGAATTATAAAAACCTTATCCCTCGATAAAAAGTCTAAGCCGAGCTCTATCCTCGCACCCGAGAGACCGAGGAAAAATACTTGTTAAGATTTTTTCTTTAAAAAAAGCAAGTGAGCCTGATCAGCTCATCTCTCACAATTCATAAAACCTCTTTGGTGGGCTAGGACTTGCAAACCTAGAATCGCATCCAAACGTTTTACTTTTAAACAAAATATATATATACATAATGGTGTTCAGTCACACTAATCAAAAACAAAACATTTCTGTCAAACGGATTAGTCCTCATGGATAAAACAAAACAATTCTTTAAGAGCGTTCCTCTGCCTCAGGAGAACCCTCGTGTGGCCGAGAACCTTCGCCTACCTCGAATTGAGAGGGGGAGTCTCCAAATACCAAAGAAAATTGTTTCAGATCGAGAGTAGGACGGGAAGCCGAGGATAGCTCGGATTCAACCACAGCGAGTTCGGCAGCAACTGCGCTCCTCTTGCTCTAGAACGAAACTCTTCCAGTCTCTAGTTCCTTAATCAGGTCTAGATTGCTCTTCAGTTTGGCTCGATCGGTTAGAAGTTTATTCCAGACCTCTTCGTCCTTGTTGAACTTCGTAACAGATTGGATAAGTTACCTACCGAATCCCCTCATCTCTTCTCGAGCGTTATGTTCGGCTTCAGCGATATCGCGAGCCCTGTTCCTAGTTAAAAGCTCGATCTCCTGATTCGCTTCTTCAAACAAAGCCGTAGTCTCTTCTAGCTCAGCCTCCAAGAGAAGAGCATTAGACCTCGCAGAATCTCTTTCAGCGTTCGCCATTCTGATGCGTTGCTCGTTAGCTGCTAGAGTTTTCTTCATGTTTTCAAAAGATGACTCGAGTGCTTTTGCTCGCTCAAGTCGCTCAGACTGGTTGACTAATCTAAGTTCATCAACCTCCTTCTTAGCCTTTGCGGTCTCTCTCTTCGCTTGGTGAAGAAGGTTCTCATAATGGAAGATCATTCCATTAGTCTCCATAAACGCTTTCAAAAAAAAAAAAAAAAAAACGTGTCATTAAGACAAAAAGTTTTTTACCTAAGAAAGAGGTGTTGTCATAATCTAAAAGATCCGAACCTGGGATAGGTAGCAGGCTCGATTGGCGAACATCTGACGGATTTCCGGCCTCCAAACCGAAAAAGGAGGAAGGGACGCCCCTTCCCTGGTTTGGAAACTTCGGAAGATGTCTCCAATCTCTTCTCCGCCTACAAAGCAGAAGAGAATAGCAGATTAATAAATAGATGCAATCTGTAACAAGTTTTGCTAATGCTCGCTTTCTAAGTAAAAACTTACCTGAAATCGAAGCGGGTAAAGGATTTTGAGTCCTAACACTCAGTCCTTGAGATAGGGGAGCCTCCGGTCTCGGCTCATCGGTTTTCTCTAGAATTACTCTGTCTCCCGGAAGAGGGAGCTCAGAGTCTAAAGATTCTGAAGAGGGAAAAACAGAATGCGGAGGGCTAGGGACTCGTGGCAGAGAACTTAATCTCACGGTTTTGAGTCTCTCGTTTGATAGAGTATCAGAATCTGGAGCCTTCCTCTTTGTACCAGGAGAAGAAGTTACTCCTCCTTCTTGCTCTTGTTCGGAAGGGCAAATTGTGGTGGCGACTGGAGGGTCGTTAAGAATCTCGGCTCCATGAATATCCACCGCGATTGACAGGGCCGCTTCTAATGAATCATCATCAACCAAGAGGGTTTTCCTGTGGAAGTTACCAACCCTGGAGATTGCGGCTATCCGCTTCTTTCTCCCGATTTCGGATAACTGATCCTTAAGAGCCTTGATTTCGGCTTGCATTTTTCTTTTATCTCGAGCATTCAGGCTCGAGATTTCTTTCTCTTCGGGAGGAGGATCGAGGGGGTGAGTTTGACCGTCTTTGATGGCGAGCCCCGCTTTATGAAGGGTGAAGGAATTCCAATTTGTTTCACCCTCAGAAACGATTCGAAAGAAAGACAAGAAGTCAACAGTTGGGCGGGGGATCGTCTGGTTCCCTGGAACAGAGTGTTGAGTTAAGAATTCTATTTCTTTTACACAATATAGTGGAAAGTAATAAAGGTTGTTTTTCTAACCAAGTTTAGCCGACCAATTGGCGAGAAGAAGACCGGAAAGACCTTGAACGGAATGGGGATTGACTCGGAAAAAGAACCAGTATTTCCTCCAAGGCCCATCATTCGAGGGCATTCCGTCAATCAGGTTACGGTCAAGAATAGGTTTCATAGAAAAAATACCCGCTGCTGCGGATTCACGGGCTCGAAATAGCCCTAAGAGTTCGCTAGTAGTGAGGGAAAAGCCTGCTTCTACCGAAACAGTCAGGGTGCTCAGAACGTATCGAAGAAAGTTGGGAGCCATTTGGGGAAAGGCAATCCCTAGGTGGAGGAGGTACAAAAGAAGAACTTCCAGTACGGGAAAAAACAGACCGCAACCTTTGAAATAGACTTCGTACGCACAACAGTAACCCTCTCGCACCACTTCCAGAGACTCGTTGGGTCTAGGAAGAGAGAATTCAATTTCCTGAGGGATGTTACAAAGGCGGCGAAGAGCGCCAAGGGAAGCAGGGGTCGACTGAGACCAAATTTGTCTCCCCTTTGGGTGAAGACTTCGTCCCCTATGGGAACAGGGATTCCTTGACTGTCATCTTCGTTGTTCGAAACATAGACGGCTGGGGAAGACATTTTTTAAGAGATTTCTCTTTTTCTAGTTTGGTAAAAGCTTTTAGGGGTAAATGTACGCTGCTGTAAAAGCCGTCGTTCCATTTAACCTTATTTAGCGGAAAACCGCCTCGAGAATATTGGGAAGTGGGACGGTTTTCCCCGCAGTATTAATATAAAATTAGAAAATTAATGATGACGGTTGTCAGGGATATCAAATCATTTGATTATCCGAGATCGGCGTAATAGCATAAAACATGGAATAATTCCGGAATGTGAAAGATCTCGAGTCATTAATTACTGTTTACTTAAGTTTTCCAAGCCGACCACTCAGCTCGCAAGACTTGGGGGGCTGAATGTTGGGGTCGGATCCCACACATTTTCGGTAGGATCCACTTGGATCTGTCCACGTCATTATTACTTAATAATCCTATTGGAATTTAAGATATTTTATTATGAGAATCAAGCTTAACCAATCGGGAGTTCGATTCAGTTTATTAAAAGAGTTCGATCTTTACCAGTACGGAGTTCGCTCTTATTCAACATACAGTTCGCATAGAGAAAGGCCAAAGCGAGGAGAATATTGTTCGAGGCTCGCGGTAACGTCAAGACGCGGGAGTTCGAAATCAACAAGAAAGAGTTCGGAAGATCCACGCGAAGCCCAAAGATAGTTCAAATTCAAGCCGTTTCGGTCAAAATGTAACTTACATGATTAATGCGGATCAATGCGATTATGAGCAGTAAATGACCGCATTGATCATGTTTTCTCTATAAAAATAACCTCAAACGCATGTGTTTGGGGGACAGATCTCATTATTCATCACTTCTGAGCAATACAATATATTTCTCTCTTTACTACTTTCGCAAGGCATTTTTTACTACGTTCCTACCAAATTTTTTTACTTCATTTCTTGGTTGATTTCCTTTCCGAATTCTCATATTCATTTCCTGATTTTACAAGAGTTTTTCTCCACAAAAATACTTAAAGATAATCGAGTGTGAATCCTACATCCACAATCCTTGCTAACCCAAGTAGCTGCTTCCACCATAGGAGCAGTTTCCCTAGCCCTTAACCAAACCTTTCTTTTAAGCCCTGTAATATCTCGTGTATGATTGTGAGGCCTGTTTCAGGATTGAGTTTGGTAGAAAGTGTTAGGTTTGAACTGACAAGAGTAGTGTCTCATGTAGTTCTAGTCCATGTTTTCTAGACTTGATAGGACTAGGTGGGAGTCTATTTTTGGGTGGGGTCAAGTATATGAGTAAACGAAGAAAAAGGTTGATGTTTTTAGGAGAAGGAAGTTGAGAAACAAGTTAGTCTAGTAATGGATTTTGGGGAAATAAAAGTCGAATAGATAGGCTCTGTAATAAAAGAAAACAAAAGTCTAGAGAAGTCTTTATCATAAGAAGATAACAAGAGCCATAGTTGTCAAAGAAAACCAAAATCCACTAGATCCATCAAAGTAAAAGAAAACCTCTCCTTAGAACAGAGTCATAGAAAAATAAAGAGTGATTTGATCTAAGATAAGAATGAGAAAAAAATGCCTTGAGTGCAAAGGGTAGAACTAAGATCATCTTCTGGGCTTGAGGGTAGTACCATCTGCTGGTGTATACACGGTTTATGTTATTGGGTAGATGAGATACTATTCTTGTATGCATAGGTTGGATCTTACCTTTAGCATTCTCCTAAAGCTCAGTCCATTTCTTTTGAGAGTCCCCTGTTACTACCTTAAAGGGACTATCTTTGTCTCCTAACCTTAACCTTAGCCAAATGAGTTCATTGATGGTGCATTGCTTGATTCACGTCCCAAAACTAATGAATGTTAAAGGGATAGGTCGATTTGAAAGCATGTGTAGGTCGAGTATAAGAGTCGGATTGAATTATAAGAAGGCATGGCTAACGTTTTTGAGTAGAGTTCGATCATATCGCATCCTAGAACTACCAACTTGGACACTGATTTTATCTGTTTTATCTGATGCTTTGGTTCTGAATCCCCACCTTCAAACCTCTACTTCATCTTGTGTTTACTTGTTTGCTTGAGGGCAAGCAAAGACTAAGTTTGGGGGAGTTGATATGTCTATAATTTGCATGTTTTACACATACACTTATCACCATTTTGAGTCTAGTTTCATTCATCTTTCATAGCATTCATCATCATTTTGTACTTTTTGCATGTTTAGGTGTGTCTAGCATTAGTCTTGCATGCATTTTGCATTCTGAAGTTGTTTCAGGTACTTTGGAGCTATTGGTGTTCAGAAAGAGGAAAAACGAAGCTGAAAGTCACATTTTGACCAATATACTCGATCACTAGTAGCTGAGGGGGAAGCAGTCAGCTCAGCAGGCCATCCAGACTGTTATACTCGATCACAGAGGAAGAGGAGCAGTCCATCCAGACTGTTATACTCGATCACAGAGGAAGAGGAGCAGTCCATCCTGACAGTCTACCAACCTACTCGATCGCAGGGTTGAAGAAGCAGTCCAGATCATGCCATCAACCAATCTACTCGATCACCACCTCAACCCTCTGATCAATCCGCACTCAACCAGACAACCTGAGCATAGGAAAGAGAAGAGGAGAGAAGGAACCACTTGATCGCGGCTTCGATTCACGCTCGACCATGAAGCCCACTTTGAGCTGATATACTCGATCTCCACGTTGTCCATGGGCGTGTAAAGCGGACTCAAAGCCCAATTACTTATCTTTGTCACTTTTGTTATAAATAAATCTCTAAGGGTTTCCCTAGAGACACACTTAGACTTAGAAAGAGACCTAGCAACCTAGTACGTTTTTCTGAATTCAGTATTGTTTAGAGTAGCCGCTTTTGCTTCTGAAATTTTGTATTTTCGATTCTTCTAAGTTATTGAAATTTTGCTTTCATTCCCTTGTTCATTTCTGTTTCATTTCCTTTAATCTTTGAAGTTATGCAATCATCAATCGTTTATATGTCTTTGAGCAAGTTGTCTGAGTAGTGACTAGGATTTCTGAGGATGGGATAGAGTAGTTGTGAGACCCTTAGTCGATTATGATGGTTAAGTGTAGTTTTATTGAATCCCTTCTGGATTAGTTGTGTTTACTGCTTATTCCTTTCTGATCAACTGGAATTCGATCAAAAGCATTCCCGCACCCAGAAGGTGTTTGATGGAATGCTTGATCCACTAATTCCAGTGATAATAGTCTCTATCCCAAGGGATTGGCCGTTTAGAGCGGTTATTGACTTTAACAGTCAGTTCTTATTGCCTGCATAGTTAGATTCCGTTAATGGGAATTAGTCTGGGCTAGCTTTGCTTGAGGGTTTCTATTACGGGAGTAAATTGATCTGTTGTTGAACCTGTTGTCTAGGGATAGCTTCATTGAGAATTGTTAACCATCGAAATTGATTATGGAGTCCACACTATTCGATTACCCCATCCTTAGGAGTTTCTCATCTAATTGATTTATCTGTTTACTTACTTGCTGCATTCACCTTCTCTGTTACTTGCTATTGAGTTTTGATAATTGTCTGTTTTTGGACCCTTATACTTGATCACATCCTCCTTCTGGCAGCGAGTCTTGTGATCGAGTATATTAGTCATTTTTGTGTCTTTTTACTACTTTCTGCATCAATCACTAGGACTGTTAGAAAAACAACCAAATTCTGCTTGGCTTGACTTAATAATTTCTAATCATATCTCATTTGTTTGCATCACACCTGATTGGATTGATAACCTTAAATACTACAATGACATGATAGTGTTTTAAGGGATTGAGAAATAGAGTAAAAAACCTACTATCAATGGTGATATTAATTAATTAATAAAAAAAGGGGTTGGGTTGTTTCATTTTCAGTGAAACATCATGAGAGAACTCTACAGTTAACCGTGCTTGTACTGGACCAATTTAAGGATGAATGACTTTCCGGGAAGTGATTGTCGGAACCGTGTGAGTGAGGACAAAACACGAGAAAAGATCATGTGGTGATTTGTAGGTTCGGTAAACAAGTCTTTAAAGCCTCTCAGACATAATGGATCGGCCACCGAGACACAGGTGGGCCCATGTGCTGAAAGAGAACATAGGGCCCATTAAGGGTGGCTGTCGGAACATTACATGAGGTATGAAAAAACTTATTTTGTTGAGGGTGGCGATCAGGACATTACAGAGAGTATGAAAAAACTTATTTCCAATTCCCATTTTTCTTTTTTCCACATTAGTCCAAAATCATTTCACCCCCTCTAAAAAATACCCTAGCCACAAACGGTTCTCTTAAATTTCTAAGGGGCTAGAATATCAAAGTTTCTATGCGGAAGCGAATAAAATATGTAAAAACGATAAATGGGACGACACAACGATCTAACGAAGTCTCAGCCGGTTCTCTCTAACCGGCCACTAATTCTCGGCTGCAAATACAGTTGATTAGATTTCTTTAGTAGAACGAATACAAGCTAGAATTTAGCTTTTACACAAGTCTAAATTCTACAAGATCTTGATCTAAGGAGCAGAAGAGTAAAGCAAACTCCCCGTTAATCACGTCCGTCTTCTCTTGCGAAAGTCTTCGATCCATGCTCCTCACACCGGCAACAATCTCTTTCCAAGGAAACCTCTCCCAACGCAGCGACTACACAAAAGATTTAAGCACAACCTCTTTGTTTTAAGATCTGTTTTTAACAAGATAATTTTCTATCTTTGCTCTCTGTCTCGTCACCTCTTTTAGTCTCTGACATTCTCCTTTTATATTCAAAAGACACCAACGGCTCCTCTAAAACAGAGCAAAAACAATCAAATAATTTCATAAATCCTTAATATTATACCCATTGAACAACGCAAAAATATATTCTTTTCAAAAAGGAATACACAATAAAAAAAAATAAAAAAAAAAATAAAAAATACACAATAATATTTGACCCATAATATCATAATCGAATAATCAAGCACATGCCTTGATAAAAAATAATCAACAAAATATTTTCCACGAAGAAAATAAGAATCGTAGATTCTTCAATAGGTTCAACCTCATCACATACGACAATGAAATGTGGCTCTTCGAGGCATTCACCATGAACGAGAATTCTTCTAAACATACGTAACAGTCTAATTTAAATAGCACCCTTCTCCCGTTAAAATGGCCAGTTGTTTTTTTTTTTTTTTTTTTTTTTTGCTAAGAATGTAAATATTTCATTAAAATGAAAACAGTTTAGGTTTACAATCTAAGATTTTAAACCTATACAAATGGTCTCATGGCAAAAAAAATAAAAACATGGAAGCATAAATTGTAGTTTGACAATTTTCGGTCCATCCACTCGACCAAAGCGTTGAAGCCGAAGGAGTTAGACGAAGCGATGACGATTTTGAAAGTTCTTTCCAAATAAGATGCCGAAAGAAGGGTGACTACAACATGAAAACGCATAAATGTGCAAGACTCTTAGCACTAGAAGCCTTTCACTGGAGGTTCGAAGATGGACCGTCAACGGCAGAAACTCAAAGTCCTCGATCACATACTCCCTCCGCGTCATGTGAGAGCGACTCGTCGATCAAATCCATGAGCTATCCCAAAATGAAACCTCACAAACCAAACCAAACTATCCCAAAATGGCCAGTTGTTGGCCAAAAATAAGTATCGTGGACGTTTTTTTCGGCTCATGACTTCAACGAGATCCATATTGCGCAAAACTGGTCGTCAGAAGATTTTTTGGAACAAGGTAAAAATATGAAATTTGATCGACAAAATAACAAAAATAAGAATGAGACTGATGAAAACTTTAATTTGGGCTATGAAGAATATCCTTTCAAGAAAGATTGATGGTCAGGCGTAACAGACTGTTCAGAGTTAGTCTCGATGGTTCAGTCACCTGATGAATGGCCGACTTTCTCCAACCTGCTAGACGAATTTGGTTTGCTCCGTGTCACTTTTCCCTCTTTCTCGCTTTCTCTTATTTCACGTTCATGTAATGTTAAAGCGGACTGCTTAGCCCGTTCTTCTAGATTTTTATTTTCTGAAACTACCTTTGTAAACATTTCTCCTCCTAATTGGGTAACCAACCAAAGAGTTTTTTAATTATTGTGTGGTTGACAAAAAAAAAAATAGAATGAGACTGATAGTTGTACAGTTTTATATCACTAATAATGAGCTTAAAATAGATCCATATGTTTTCATGACAACAATTAGATTGATAAAAGAAAAGAAAAGAAAAACAGTTAGATTGACTAAGAATTGGTTTGTCTCTAAAAATGCAGCATCTCGTAACATATTATATTTAATTTAAAATAATTATACCAAAATTTAAGTGAAGTATTATCATTAATTATTTATTTTAAAGACAAAAATGTTTTCTTTCTACCATTTTAATTTTAATTTTTACATTTTTTTCTATATTAAGAAACTAGATTATTTCACTTATTCACTTGTTGGTTTATATAAAAATATTTTTATCATAATAAATGACTTTTTCACTTTCTATTATATTCTAAGAAAAGCTAATTTAGAATACTTTCCGATATTCAAAACTTTTCTGGATATCCATTGTATTTTGAGAAAAGTGGTTTGCGGATATTGTTGTTGTTTTATAAAATATCCGACCTATACACTATCTGATGTGTGCGGATGCGTGTATCAGGTTTTAAAATCCTTAAGAGCACAACAAATAAGCTGCAAGTGCACAGCGAATCAGTTGTAGTACTTAGGGTATCGAATCCACAGGGAGAGAAGTAGTTCGGACAAATCTATTAAGACAAGTAAAGCTGGGACAAAACAAAAAAGAGGGGTTGATTTTGGTGTCACGATTTGCAAGTAAAAGTAAATAAGAGAACAAGTAAATAAACGCAAGAAAATAAACGCAAGAAAACTATGGGAGACAAACGTTGGGCATCAAGGGTATCGCAGGGGGTTCAATGATCGCTATCTAAGAAATACTAGAATTAGGTTTGTTTACTTCCAAGTCTCGGACATACGAAACACTAAGATTCGGCTAACCCTATGTTATAGAATCAGTCGGCTAAAATCCTTATACTCCGTTACTCACCTAACGCAAGCAACGACGCATATATCAAAGCAATAAGATCAAGTTCGATTCTAGTCCATAAAGACCTATAACTAAGTGGTGTGTGCTTGTTATAACACGATACACATTCCTAAGCTAGGTCTAGCGTATTAAACAACCTTGTGAGCAATTTAAACACTTGGGATCACGAGTTAGGACATGAATCTAACTACATGCATTAAGAAACAACTTACTTAGAAAGAAAAAAGTGTAAACGATCAAACAAAACCCTAAGTATCGCTACTTAAACGATCGACATATTCCCCCCCCCCCTTTGATTAACCCTTTAAACCAAACTAGAAAACTACTCTAGCATGGTAAAAGAGATCATCAAAGTAAGGTTTGATAAACTCATAAGAAAAAGAAGAATAAGAACTGAATAGGGTTTAGAGATTATTTCTTTGAATGTAGAATACAAGAGGTAAGACTTCACCGTAATAGATCTTAGAGAAAACAAGAGAAAAGAGAGAGAGATTTGGTGGAACTTCAAAAATTCAAGGTCGATGGCTGCAGGGGCAGGGACGAGCTTGACGGAGACTTGAGAGGCACTTCGAAGACACCCTAGGTTTAGGGCTTTCAACACGTATTTATAGGTTTCGGGAACCAAGGATTAGGTCTAGGGGTAAAAGCGTCTTTTCCCGTAAATTAGGTTAAGTGCAACTCGCGTCTCTGGACAGGGTAGAGGCATTAGTGACCGGGGTGGAGAGTAGGAGACAGCCTGGGCTTGGTCCTTGTGACCGGTGCGGTCTAGAAGCTCTGGAACGGTTGCATAGCTTATGGCCGGTCTGGACATGTCTTCACTCTTCTAGTCATAACATCTGAACGGCTCAATGAAAAGCTCTGATTCCACTTCGAGGCGAATCTTGACTCTTCTAGATTTCCATAGCCACCGAGATCTCTTGATTTAGTAACCGGAAAGACCTTGAACAGATGCCATACTTCTGACGTACAGAGACTGTCTTGAAACGGGTTTTGATCGCCTTTTGGTCTTTAAAGCTCAAAAACTCTTAAAACCTTCTTGGCTCCATAAATAATTGAATAACTCCCTCTTAGCTCTGAAATCACTCCAAATGCTCCCTAAAACATAAGAAAACAATAGCAAATATGGGCGAAAATCCCATGTTATCACTATCCTACTACGTAATCTTATCATCTTTTTTTCTCTTTCGTGATCTAATCGCCGCATCCTTCGTCTCTTCGTATTTGGTTGGATTTTGACCACCGCGTGGTGGCTTACTTAGTGCCATCGCCGGTCATGTTTCTCTTCTTCTCTTACTTTTTGTTTCTGGTCTTTGTTTTCTTTGGCGGTGTTTGCACGGTGGCTTTGGCAAGATGGTTTGGCCGCCTTCGATTCTCAGATCTGGTTGAAAGTGGCCTTTTGTCACCGGAAACTTTGGTCTTTGGTTTGCTCTGTGTGCGTTGGTGTGACTCATGGCAGTGTTGGTCTTGGTCAAGTTGCAAGGACGAATCCTTTTCAGATCTGCCTCTTCGCTCATGACTGAAGCTTTGCGGTGGATCTCCTGATCATGGTTTGTTTTGGTTTGAGGAGGGTGACACCTGATTTAATCGATCTACGGGTCTCCATTCTTTAGTTTCAAACCTTGTGTATGTGTACTGAATCGATTTGTCTCTATGCCGTTTTGTGAATTACCGTTTCTGTTGGTTACATGTTTAGGCGAATTTGTGTTGGTGCTCTTCAATTCTCTTTTGGGTCTTTGTGCCTTCAACGTTGGTTGTTTTGGTGCTGTTCTGGAATTGGCTATGTATTCAGTCTTTTGTGGTCGAGTTTCTTGATCTCTTGCCTATTCTCTGCCCTACTGAGTATGCTTATTTTTCGATCCAGTTCGCATTCTTATCGTCTCCAGTTTTCGGTTTGATTCGGATTGTTTGGGCTCGGTCCTTGTCTCTACGGTCAAGACCTGATCGAGGTCTCTCTATTGCATTGGTATCTTTCTAGGCGAAATCTCTTCGTGGTTATTAAGCTTGCCTCGAATTCGCTGTTTCCAGGAGTTGTGTTTGGGTTCTTGTTCTCTACTTGCTGGTAAAGATGCTTTAGTTCTCTTTAATTTGTGAGGTAGTCTTCATTGTTATAGGAGGAGCCGCTGTCCGGTGTCGTGGATTTTCTCGTCTCCATCGGTTAGCAACTACTTCAAGCTTTTCTCTTTGTTGGTTTGTTGGTAGGCAAGGTGTGATGTGCTAGATTCTGAGTTAGAGTTGTATTTCATGTTCTTTGTGCTTCGTTGCCTTCTTTGTTTTGGCATTGTTTGTTCATTAGTAGTGTTGATGTTTGAATCCCATGTTTTTGGGCTTAGTTTCCGAGGATATCATGTTATCCGTCGGCTTAGTTTCCGGGGATGTATTGTTTCCACCGGTTTAGTTTTCGGGATTATGTTTTTAATCGCCGACTTTGTAACTTGGTTCTTCTTTTATAAAAATTCTACCAGACAAAAAAAAAAAAAAAAAACACTATCCTACTACAGTGTGTCGTGAAAGGTTAATTATTTTTTTTTTACATATATGTATTTTTGTTTTCTAGATTTGGAATAAGATAATCAACTCTATTTCTCGTTTGGTAGTTCTTAGTTTAAACTAATTAAGATTAAAACTTCTAATATATGTACATTAGTACATATACAAATCGATAATGTATGTTTTTGTTCGTAAATAGAATGTTGAAACTTTTAACAGATTTTTTAAGCAGAAATATTACATAGAATGAATGATTAGGATGAGATAGTGGAGACCTTTAAATTCTTAACCGACAAAATTTTGCAAATCTAATATTTAAAGGAATAATGCTTTCCTAATAAAAATGATTATAATTACTTGTCAAATTAGTCGGCAACCATCGGGTATGTATTACTGATTTACTTTACCATAACGAGTAGGTGGGTAACACAAAGGTAACTGTGAATTCTTAGGACATACATATGTAAACCAAGCCTTTATATCCGTTTAGTTCCCGTAATTATAGGAAACTAAACTTTCTGGTTTTTATATTAAAATAGAACTCAACAAATCTCTTTAACACAGTTCTAAGAACGATAGTGCCTCCGAATCTTCATAGATTTCATAATCTATAGACAGTTAAGAATATGAAAGGATAGACATCAAAATAATGAAACTCTAAACACCAAAGGAAAAGACATGAAACCAAAAAAGAAGTTAGATGCTATACACGGCAAGAAGTTGAGTTAACTTCATCGCTGGTTGTGGAACCTTTTACTCGTGTCACCAAAACTCATGCAACAATAACGTTTTTCCTCTAAATGATTTGACCATTTGGTCATGGAAATTCGGATTCGGATTTGGTTCAGATATTTTGGAATACTAAAAATTCATCCAATATGTTTATATTGCATGTAGATTTTTTAGTTGAATTGCTAACTTTAGGCATTTTAAACAGATTTTGTCCAAAATAAAAAAAGAAAAAAAAAGAAGGCATTTTAAACATATGTTATCTTCTAAGTTTCTGATAGGATATTTACTTACGTTTTAGTATAATCATTCAAAAAATTATTTCTTCAATATATTCTAAAACTGTTTTATAATGTGTAATATGATTAATTATTTTTGTTGTATACAATCTAATATATTTTTCGAAGGTATTTGATTTGTTTCTATTCATCATTGAATGATATATGTAATATATAAGCAATTTGTAGCTAGACGTTTATAGAAGTACATATCCCTAAAAAATATTTCTTTGGGAAACCACTTATGTACTTCTAAATGCTAGCTTCCGTAAACCTGCTTCTGATATTTCTTTAATATTTTGTTTACAAAAGGGTTTGCTTACCCGATTCTGAATTTATGTAACATATAGTTTGCTAATTTACGAACACTGATTGTGGTGAATGATTAAAATTAGGGAATTTATACAAAGTAACCATGGATTCAAAAAGAATATACAAAACTAACCATGAGCTACAGTAACCTGTCGGTAACATATCGGAATGTCTGTGTAATTACGTATATGTCTTTTGTAACACGCTTTTTTCCAAATTACATGTGATAGCATAATTGTATCTCTTTTTATCATGTATTTTTTTGTATTACATGTTATTTATAAACAACACATGATATTTTTTGGAAAAACATTCTATTCAGTATAATATCTCTCTTTATCATGTTATTTTGTAATAATACACATGTTTTATTAAGATCACGTGTGATTTCTTTTTAAGAAAGATGATTATTTTTTAGTAATACACGATTTTTATTAAGATTATATGTGATTTCTTTTTAAAAAGATTCTATTCAGATTAAATTTCTAGAACAATATTTTTTCTTTAAAAAACACTACGTAACAATGTTTTTTCTTAAAAATTCACTATGTTTTTTTAAATATCATGTCTTTTAGTTAAATATAACATGCTATTTTAAAAAAGCTCAGGAAACTGTCTCGCATATCGTTGATCTTGCAACAAAGAAAGGATAATTTTGTTATTTCACTTCATCTAACCACGTGGATCCATGACTATTTTGCAACAAAAAACTTTCTCTCTGATATTTTCTTAAGTTGAGTATTTTATTTGGCTATTCTATAATATTACCCTTAAAATTATTTGATATATATGTACATAAAAAAAAATGGAATGTTTTGGAGGAAAATTTGAATGCAGAATTCCGACTATAAGTTTTTGACCGACAAAATTTTGCAAATCAAATATCTAAATGAATAATGCTTTCAATATAAATATGATTTATGGTCAAAATAGTCGGAAAGTATATAACAATCCATAGGGCACTCATAGTTGTATGTTACAATTTACAAGTAGGTGACCCTGATTATAAATTAACTAACATATACTTAAGCTCTTTATTAATTAAAAACTCGACATACCAACCAATTATAAACATATACAGTATTTAGTGTTTCTTGCTTTGTATTATCAAAGAATAAATATAAGACCTATACCTCTCTTTCTTTATCATTTCCAACAGCTATATATGCTAACGTCCCTTACCTTCATTTTCTCATCACTGATCCATCTAAGATAGTATAACTTCTCTTTCCAAAATCAATTTTAATGGTGTCATTTTGCGATAGAAGGTTCGCATTCCTGATTATCTTTCTCTTCGCTGCACAATATGAGCGTGTCTATGCTGGTAGCTTTCACAAGGACGTTCAGATACACTGGGGTGATGGCCGTGGAAAGATTCTCGACAATGTCGGAAATCTTCTTTCTCTCTCGCTCGATAAATTCTCTGGTTCCGGTTTTCAGTCCCATCAAGAGTTTCTATATGGAAAAGTTGAGGTTCAAATGAAACTTGTACCTGGTAACTCTGCTGGAACAGTGACAACATTCTATGTAAGTAATATACAATTTCAAAGCATTCTTGCCGTCTTTAGCTATTTACTAGATTTCATATACTTTAACGATTTGCTTTATGATGACTTTATGTAGCTAAAATCGCCTGGAACTACGTGGGATGAGATAGATTTTGAGTTCTTGGGAAACATAAGTGGTCATCCATATACACTTCATACTAATGTTTACACAAAAGGCACAGGAGACAAAGAACAACAGTTTCATCTATGGTTTGACCCAACTGTACACTTTCACACTTATTGTATCATATGGAATCCCCAAAGGGTCATGTAAGTGGAGCTTTTTTAATGGTTTCATTAATCCTTTGCACATAGTATAATCTTATATGTTTTAAAGCTATGACCTCATGAACCAACATTAATTCTTTCCTTCCTTTTTTCTTGTTCCTTTTTCAGTTTTACAATAGATGGAATTCCGATAAGAGAATTCAAGAACTCCGAATCCGTTGGAGTTCCCTTCCCAAAGCATCAACCAATGAGACTCTATGCGAGCCTTTGGGAAGCCGAGCATTGGGCCACAAGAGGAGGATTAGAGAAAACAGACTGGTCTAAAGCTCCTTTCACCGCTTTCTACAGAAACTACAATGTGGATGCATGTGTATGGGCTCATGGAAAATCATCATGCTCTGCGCATTCCTCATGGTTCACTCAAGTACTTGATTTCAAAGGCAAGAATAGAGTGAAATGGGCACAGAGAAAGTACATGGTCTACAACTATTGCACTGATAAGAAAAGATTTCCTCAAGGTGCTCCTCCAGAGTGCAGTTAAATCACTGATTGTTTGATTCACGAATAAATCATGTGGCATTGTTTTTGTAACCGAAATGATGTTTATCTATATTTTGGCACTAGCTGAGTATTCGCGCTAAACAAATTACTTCTCTATTAGTAAGTTTTTTTTTTTGGTTCTATTATTTTGTTTTTTTTTTGTATTATTTGTATGTGTGATTTGGCTTAGTTATCTAAATTACTTGTTTCCGTAACTTTTGTTATTCTTAAACTGTCTCTTCTAATTGTAACATTAAAATTTGAAAATTACATATGAGTTTTAATGTGAGTTAATTAGAGATCAATATTATAGTTAAAAAAAAGAGTTTAAAGAAGAGACCAAATGATAAAAAAAGAATAAAACCAGGCTTTATATAATAAGATTCCGTAATCTTTTACTGATACTCTAACACCTAAAAAACCTTTTCTACACCAATTTGATCAATCACTACAACTAAAATCGTAGGAGATGGTAGGAAATAGACGTTTCATACAGCTAAAATCGTACGAGATTGGTAGGAAATAGACGTTTCCTACCAATTTCCTACGAAAAATCTTTGAAGGGAATCGTCCGTAGGAAATAGAATTTGGTAGAAAATTTGGTTGGAAATTTCCTATGAAACTTGTTCGTAGGAAATTGGTAGGGCCTTTTCACCATTATCCTTCCAAATTTTTGTTGGAAAGTTAGTCCTTCAACTTTCCTACGAAATATTCTTCACCAATTACCTACCAAAATTATCTTACTACAATACGCCTCCTACCATTATCCTTCGAAATTTCAGAGACAATTTTAATAAAATTATTTATATTTATTTGTTGCAAATTTTAGTTTTTTGAAAAAATTAAATTTAAAAAGCAACTTAAAATTAATGCATTATCAATTTGGTAGGAAAAACCTATGTTTTCTTGTAATGCGTTATCAATTGTAAGAAATAAATTAACCAATATAGATATAAGAATTAAATTTAAATGTGATGGGAGGGATTTTTATTCTTTTTTTCTTTAAAACACAAAAAAAAACTTTTTTTGCCAAAAAAAAAAAAAAACTATTTCTTATGCCTAAAACAATATCAAATCCATACGAATTCACAACGTACACTACAAAAAATATGCTAAGAGACGTCACTTTTTTCAAGTCATTTTGTTAACCGACGTGAAAATTTAAAATTGGAAGGGAATTTGTAAAATTGTAAAATTTCAGGTATGTGTTGTGAACAAAGAGGTTTTAGGGAATTGTTCTCTCTGTTATTGATCAATTGTACAAGATATAACATATATATAGGGATAGAATCATTAGGGTTTAGGTTAAAGATTAGGTCTTTTAGAACCTACTAATGGGCCATATAATGGGCATCCACATAATACCCATATTATTCATAACACTCTCCCTTGGATGACCATTCTAAAAATATGGTCTCAAATGCGCATGCGAGATGCTGCCTCATTAAAAACTTTACCAAGAAAACCCAATGGGAAAAATCATGGTTAAGGGAAAAAGAGTGCAGCGCGCTTTTACTTCCCTTCATGAGTAGATCACTTGAATCTTCGAGATGACACAATCAGATATGATGAAATAACTTCTTGAAAGTAGTTGTTGGAAACGCCTTGGTAAATAAGGTTCGTCAAATCTTCACTTGAACGAATTTGTAGGACACATACATCACCATTCTTCTGCAGTTCATTGGTCTTGTATGTACTTCGTCTTGATCATTATCTTTGTTTCTCACGAACTCATCAATGTATGTTAAAGACTTTGAAGAATTATAGTCTTTCATCATTGGAATCACAACATTTCTCTTTAGGTGTCTATCATTCGCGTGTTCTTTGTTGTCTCGTTAAAAACCTTTCATGGAAAACCCAATGGGATAAAAACCATGATAAGGGAAAAAGAGTACAACCATGCATATAATTATATTTCTCCCCCTGGAATCTTCCTCTTCAGGATATGCTTTCCAGTCATATATACCATCTTTTCGGTAATCACTATATTCGAAAACTTAGTGAACAAACTGGTATGATTGTCATATAACCTCTCGGGTCTTCGAACTTCTAGTTCATAATATCTCTTTCGAATGGAAGATTATTCCATTCTCTACTTGGACTTCAGGTCCAAATAATCTTTTGCATACAATCTTCTAAACTTTTATCTTTTACATAGGAGTTATGTATATTCTCCTTGCAAAACCATATTATTTTATCTTTCCTTCTTATTATGATTCTTCTGGACCAAATATATGTGAGCATTTTCCATGTAAAATCCTGCAAGGATCTTTGAAATAATATCTCTTTTGCTAAATGTCCAATTTGTAATTCTGAGGAATTTCATGAAGACTCGGATTCATGCACAATCTTATTTCAACATCTTCCATAAGAATGATTCCATCTTAAATTCTTTCATCAAATATTTTACTGTATATGAAATCTCTACAGGAGATCCGATAATATTTAAATCATCAAACGTACTCTATATTTATTCTTGTAGCCTTCTTTTAACAAGTACCAACTAAGGCAATTATCTTATATATGCCCCGATGTTTCAATTCACAACAATATCGATTTAATTTCACATATATAGTTATGTTCTCGAGAACTATAATTTGTTGCTTCTGGCAATAGAATCTTTCAAGGCAACTTCTATTTTCCAGGGCTGCTTATGACATTTTAAGACCTTCTGGGCAGACTGAATCAAGTCTTTTTCACATTGTCAAACAGATAATGGATTTATATAGTTGCATCCACCACATGAGAGTATATCTCTTTCTCTTAAATTTCATGTCTTTGTGAGAATTATTTTTACCACTAAACGTGCTTTATATCTCATAAAAATCCACTAATCTCCCACTAATTTTACACCTTCAAGTGTACGGACTTCTAGTCCAAATACTTTTTCTTCAAGAGATTTAATTATTTATCTATTACTTCTTTCCATGATTGCCCAATCATCACTTTGGTTCCCTTTTATTCCAGACATGACTCAACTTGTTGAGATTTCCTTTCATTATCATTCTCACGTACTTGAATCTCTTTCTTTCTCATGTCTAAGCTCTTCTAGAGACTCTTTGCTTCCTCGGTGCCATATTAATATCCGCTCCTTTAATTTTCTTTTCCGAGGATGCCTTTTCTTTGGAACCAATAAGTCTATCACGCTTCAGGCGATCTTTAGACTTACTAGCAGTTGATCTTATCCTTATAGGATATTACTTTTAATTGGAGCACAGCTGGTCTGATTTATCACTTAAGGTCAGGAAATGCTTCTGGCATATAATTTGCTTAACTTTGCAAATGAATTATCTTTTAACTTGTAGTGCACATTCTTTAGTACGAGGATCAAGATAATTTCTTCCAATATATTTCTTTACCAGCTGTTTATTTTCTCCCCCTAATGTTGGAAAGACTGACTCACTGAATTGACAGTCTCCATCTCGAGCCTTAAATAAATTCTTTATTGATGGCTCAAGATAATCAATCATCGAGAGAGATTCATATCGAATATATTTCCAACATTCTTTCATGTCTCATGTTATATATCACTGTGCTGGAGCAACTCTACATATATATAACACATTTAGATGAGAACTATCTGGTTTCTGACCCAAACCAATTGTAACGGGGAAAACTTATTATTTCTTGTTGGCCTGATGCGAATAAATTGACATAATATTCATTTACTTAAGACATGGTTTCACGACCATTATCAATTAACCAAATACCCTCGCAAACTCCAGGTTGCAAGTCGATAGCAAGAATATAATGTGGGTGATCAGTCCACAATAATTTCTCATATACGTACCAGAAAATTGACACTATCCAAATTCATGGGGTCGGTGAAAGCCATATAATCTGCTTGCTTTGTAAACCAGCAACACATACGAAATTACTAGAAAAAATCTTCAGGTTTTCCAATGAATATTTTCATAAATTTCTGATTATTCTTTCGCATCGCTACTGAACCGGAATGGCTTAACCGGTCATGCCAAACAATGAGATTTTTAGTAAACTTCGTGTTTAGTATACACAAGTATATTCATTAAACTACTCTTTATGTAGTACAATCATATAGAGTATATATTCAATTTCTCTAAAATACTTTTAGAGCCTTGGGTATTCAACATTTTCTTGTTGTCTCAACATGATTCGTTCTAAAATCCCATAGATTTATTTTATGAAGAATTCATTAGTCTTAGTTTTAGTGTGAACATAATCTTCTAGATGTTTCACTTATTATGCTATATGGGATTCTTTAACTCTCCCCCTCGAGATAATAACACTAGGTTTATCATCTCGAATTGAATCCCATTTTAGACCCTTCTAGCTTTGAAACTTGAGAAATTATAAAACATCAATTATTTTAAATTACATTTTTATTCACTATGCGAGAACATTCAATAAACAATGCAAATAATTTAGCCAAAAATATGTATAATTTAAGGGTAAAACATTTTTTTTTTTTTGGTCACATCTAAAAATGTTTTTACGAAGTTAAACCAACGGTATACCAACTATTAAGGATTTAATAATAAGCATCCAAACAACCATTAAATCCTTATTTTTATAAAATATTTTATAAAAATACTTATCTTTTTATCGAATGGATCCTCTTAAAACGTCCGAAACAGAGATGAAGTGTATGATGATAATCATTTGCACATCTTCCATATTAACTCCTTCATTTCAAACTTTTAACCGAAGGGATCACCACAAAAGATCTGAAATGGAAATAACATCGTTGGTGATAATTATTTGCTCGATCTCTTATATTAAATCTTTCATTTCAAAGAAATAATAAAAAAAACATTTGATCAATTATCATCAAAACATATATCATATAAACGTCAATTACGATAAATTATAAGTTTGAATTAACATATGTTTAATAAATTACTCCCTCTGTATTCGTATAGTTGTCGTTTTAACTATAATTACGCTTATTAAGAAAAAGTTGAAAATGACTATTTTAACCTCATCTTTGTCTCTTGGTAATTTAGACTGAGTAATTGTGATCAATTAATTGAGGTTAATTTAGGAAGTCTTATGCAAAAGTTGTATTGGAATGTCAAAACGACAACTAATTAACAAAAAAAAAAAAGTGTAGAACGACAAGTATTCGAATACGGAAGGAGTATAAGTTTGAATTAACATATGTTTAATACAGAATAATTTCTCATAAAGCAAACAACATGAATCAATCTCATTGGGAATGAAACAATATACGAACAGATCAAAA